CACTGTGTGTGTATACTGTGTGTGTGTACACTGTGTGTGTAGTTACACGAAGCTCAAGGGACAGCTGCCTGACTACTGTGTGTATACTGTGTGTGTGTACACTGTGTGTGTACACTGTGTGTGTGTACACTGTGTGTGTGTACACTGTGTGTGTGTAGTTACACGAAGCCCAAGGGACAGCTGCCTGACTACTGTGTGTACACTGTGTGTGTATACTGTGTGTGTGTACACTGTGTGTACACTGTGTGTGTACACTGTGTGTGTGTACACTGTGTGTGTGTAGTTACACGAAGCCCAAGGGACAGCTGCCTGACTACTGTGTGTACACTGTGTGTATACTGTGTGTGTGTACACTGTGTGTACACTGTGTGTGTACACTGTGTGTGTAGTTACACGAAGCCCAAGGGACAGCTGCCTGACTACTGTGTGTACACTGTGTGTGTGTGTGTACACTGTGTGTGTACACTGTGTGTGTGTACACTGTGTGTGTGTACACTGTGTGTGTACACTGTGTGTACACTGTGTGTGTGTAGTTACACGAAGCCCAAGGGACAGCTGCCTGACTACTGTGTGTATACTGTGTGTGTGTACACTGTGTGTGTACACTGTGTGTACACTGTGTGTGTGTAGTTACACGAAGCCCAAGGGACAGCTGCCTGACTACTGTGTGTATACTGTGTGTGTGTACACTGTGTGTGTACACTGTGTGTACACTGTGTGTGTGTAGTTACACGAAGCCCAAGGGACAGCTGCCTGACTACTGTGTGTATACACTGTGTGTGTACACTGTGTGTGTACACTGTGTGTGTACACTGTGTGTGTATGTACACTGTGTGTATACTGTGTGTACACTGTGTGTGTGTACACCCTGTGTGTGTGTAGTTACACGAAGCCCAAGGGACAGCTGCCTGACTACTGTGTGTACACTGTGTGTGTGTACACTGTGTGTGTGTATACTGTGTGTGTGTGTACACCCTGTGTGTGTGTAGTTACACGAAGCCCAAGGGACAGCTGCCTGACTACTGTGTGTACACTGTGTGTGTACACTGTGTGTGTACACTGTGTGTACACTGTGTGTATACTGTGTGTGTGTGTGTGTACACTGTGTGTGTACACTGTGTGTGTGTGTGTGTACACTGTGTGTGTACACTGTGTGTGTGTATACTGTGTATACTGTGTGTGTACCACTGTGTGTGTGTAGTTACACGAAGCCCAAGGGACAGCTGCCTGACTACTGTGTGTATACTGTGTGTGTGTACACTGTGTGTGTGTAGTTACACGAAGCCCAAGGGACAGCTGCCTGACTACTGTGTGTATACTGTGTGTGTGTACACTGTGTGTGTACACTGTGTGTACACTGTGTGTGTGTAGTTACACGAAGCCCAAGGGACAGCTGCCTGACTACTGTGTGTATACACTGTGTGTGTACACTGTGTGTGTACACTGTGTGTGTACACTGTGTGTGTATGTACACTGTGTGTATACTGTGTGTACACTGTGTGTGTGTACACCCTGTGTGTGTGTAGTTACACGAAGCCCAAGGGACAGCTGCCTGACTACTGTGTGTACACTGTGTGTGTGTACACTGTGTGTGTGTATACTGTGTGTGTGTGTACACCCTGTGTGTGTGTAGTTACACGAAGCCCAAGGGACAGCTGCCTGACTACTGTGTGTACACTGTGTGTGTACACTGTGTGTGTACACTGTGTGTACACTGTGTGTATACTGTGTGTGTGTGTGTGTACACTGTGTGTGTACACTGTGTGTGTGTGTGTGTACACTGTGTGTGTACACTGTGTGTGTGTATACTGTGTATACTGTGTGTGTACCACTGTGTGTGTGTAGTTACACGAAGCCCAAGGGACAGCTGCCTGACTACTGTGTGTATACTGTGTGTGTGTACACTGTGTGTGTGTAGTTACACGAAGCCCAAGGGACAGCTGCCTGACTACTGTGTGTATACTGTGTGTGTGTACACTGTGTGTGTACACTGTGTGTACACTGTGTGTGTGTAGTTACACGAAGCCCAAGGGACAGCTGCCTGACTACTGTGTGTATACACTGTGTGTGTACACTGTGTGTGTACACTGTGTGTGTACACTGTGTGTGTATGTACACTGTGTGTATACTGTGTGTACACTGTGTGTGTGTACACCCTGTGTGTGTGTAGTTACACGAAGCCCAAGGGACAGCTGCCTGACTACTGTGTGTACACTGTGTGTGTGTACACTGTGTGTGTGTATACTGTGTGTGTGTGTACACCCTGTGTGTGTGTAGTTACACGAAGCCCAAGGGACAGCTGCCTGACTACTGTGTGTACACTGTGTGTGTACACTGTGTGTGTACACTGTGTGTACACTGTGTGTATACTGTGTGTGTGTGTGTGTACACTGTGTGTGTACACTGTGTGTGTGTGTGTGTACACTGTGTGTGTACACTGTGTGTGTGTATACTGTGTATACTGTGTGTGTACCACTGTGTGTGTGTACACTGTGTGTGTGTGTACACCCTGTGTGTGTGTAGTTACACGAAGCCCAAGGGACAGCTGCCTGACTACTGTGTGTGTACACTGTGTGTGTGTGTACACTGTGTGTGTACACTGTGTGTGTACACACTGTGTGTGTGTAGTTACACGAAGCCCAAGGGACAGCTGCCTGACTACTGTGTGTGTACACTGTGTGTACACTGTGTGTGTACACTGTGTGTGTGTATACTGTGTGTGTGTACACTGTGTGTGTGTAGTTACACGAAGCCCAAGGGACAGCTGCCTGACTACTGTGTGTGTACACTGTGTGTACACTGTGTGTGTGTATACTGTGTGTGTACACCCTGTGTGTGTGTAGTTACACGAAGCCCAAGGGACAGCTGCCTGACTACTGTGTGTACACTGTGTGTATACTGTGTGTACACTGTGTGTGTACACTGTGTGTGTACACTGTGTGTGTACCACTGTGTGTGTAGTTACACGAAGCCCAAGGGACAGCTGCCTGACTACGCGTCTCCCGTCGTGCTCCAGGCCGGCCGCACCTCCGTCGAGGATTTCTGCAACAAGATTCACAAAAACCTCATGAAGGAGTTCAAATAGTGAGGGGTGGGGGTGGGGAGGGGCATAGGGGGGAGGGGCTTAGTGTGGGGGGGAGGGGTTTAGTGTGGGGGGGAGGGGTTTAGTATGGGGGGGAGGGGCATAGGGGGGAGGGGTTTAGTGTGGGGGGGAGGGGTTTAGTGTGGGGGGAGGGGCATAGGGGGGAGTGGAGGGTGGGGGGGGAGGGGTTTAGTGTGGTGGGGAGGGGCATAGGGGGAGGGGTTTAGTGGGGGGAGGGGCATAGGGGGGAGTTGAGGGTGGGGGGGAGGGGCATAGGGGGGAGTGGAGGGTGGGGGGGAGGGGTTTAGTGTGGGGGGGAGGGGCATAGGGGGGGAGTGGAGGGTGGGGGGGAGGGGTTTAGTGTGGGGGGGGAGGGGCATAGGGGGGAGTGGAGGGTGTTGAACATCGCCAGCACTGGGGGAGAGACAAAGGCGGCCGGGCGTGGTGCTGATAGCCACCCACCTCTGTGTGTAGACACCCACTCTGTGTGTAGACACACACCACACACTCTGTGTGTAGACACACACCACCCCCTCTGTGTGTAGACACACACTCTGTGTGTAGACACACACTCTGTGTGTAGACACACACTCTGTGTGTAGACACACACCACCACTTTGTGTGTAGACACACACCACCACTCTGTGTGTAGACACACACTCTGTGTGTAGACACACACCACCCCCTCTGTGTGTAGACACAGTGCCGGTATCCTTCACAGGCGCTGCTGCTGCTACTAACAGCACTTGTCCCTGCAGTCTGCTACAGGCTATACGGGGGATCTTTATCTTTGTGTGTATGTGTGTGAATCTGTGTGTCTGTCTGTGTGTGTGTGTCTGTGTGTGTGTATCTGTGTGTAGCGATAGTGTAGCGGTTAGCGCTACGCTGCGCTACAAACCTGGCGACCCGGGTTCGATTCCCGCTCACGGCCAACACCGGTGACGATTATCTGAACCGGTCCCGGGCCTCCCCTAGGTTGACTCAGCCTCAAATGAGTACCTGGTGCGGTGTGTAAACATCGCCACTAGGGAGACAAAGGCGGTCGGGCGTGGTGCTGGCCACCCACCCCCTCGTGTACCGTTCCGGCCTTCATAGGTGCTCGCTAACAGCACTTGCCCCTACAGTCTGTTAGGGCTATACGGGGGATCTTTGTCTTTGATCTTTGTAAGTGTGTGTGTGACAGCACTTGCCCCTACAGTGTGTTAAGGCTATATGGGGGATCTTTATCTTTGTAAGTGTGTGTGACAGCACTTGCCCCTACAGTCTGTTAGGGCTATATGGGGGATCTTTATCTTTGATCTTTGTAAGTGTGTGTGTGACAGCACTTGCCCCTACAGTGTGTTAGGCTATATGGGGGATCTTTATCTTTGATCTTTGTAAGTGTGTGTGTGACAGCACTTGCCCCTACAGTGTGTTTAGGCTACACGGGGGACCTTTGTCTTTGATCTTTGTAAGTGTGTGTGACAGCACTTGCCCCTACAGTCTGTTAAGGCTATATGGGGGATCTTTATCTTTGATCTTTGTAAGTGTGTGTGTGACAGCACTTGCCCCTACAGTGTGTTAAGGCTATATGGGGGATCTTTATCTTTGATCTTTGTAAGTGTGTGTGTGTGACAGCACTTGCCCCTACAGTGTGTTTAGGCTACACGGGGGACCTTTGTCTTTGATCTTTGTAAGTGTGTGTGACAGCACTTGCCCCTACAGTGTGTTAAGGCTATATGGGGGATCTTTGATTTTTGTAAGTGTGTGTGTGACAGCACTTGCCCCTACAGTGTGTTTAGGCTACACGGGGGACCTTTGTCTGTGTGCTACAGTGCGCAGGTGTGGGGTTCTTCAGTGAAGTACAACCCGCAGAAGGTGGGGAAGGAGCACGTCCTGAACGATGAAGATGTCATCCAGATCGTGAAGAAGTGATGACATCATCAACAACATCATCATCATCAACAACATCATCATCAACGTCCTGAACGATGAAGATGTCATCCAGATCGTGAAGAAGTGATGACATCATCATCAACATCATCATCATCAACATCATCAACAACATCATCATCAACGTCCTGAACGATGAAGATGTCATCCAGATCGTGAAGAAGTGATGACATCATCATCAACATCATCATCATCAACATCATCAACAACATCATCATCAACGTCCTGAACGATGAAGATGTCATCCAGATCGTGAAGAAGTGATGACATCATCATCAACATCATCATCATCAACAACATCATCATCAACGTCCTGAACGATGAAGATGTCATCCAGATCGTGAAGAAGTGATGACATCATCATCAACATCATCAACATGCCGCCATCATCAACCTCCTCCTGCTCCTCCTCCACCACCTCCTCCACCTCCTCCTCCACCACCTCCTCCACCTCCACCACCTCCACCTCCTCCACCACCTCCTCCACCACCTCCACCACCTCCGCCTCCTCCACCTCCTCCTTCACCACCTCCATCACCTCCTCCACCACCTCCTCCTCCACCACCTCCTCCACCTCTTCCACATCCACCTCCACCTCCACCACCACTACCACCACCTCCTCCACCTCCTCCATCTCCATCTCCTCCTCCACCTCCTCCACCTCCTTCATCTCCTCCACCTCCTCCACCACCACCTCCACCACCTCCCAATTGACTGTGGTTCCTGCCATAGGATAAATGAATAAAGGATGTGGACTATGCGTGTGTGTTGTGTGTGCTGTGTGTAGGTGTGTGTGTGCTGTGTGTAGGTGTGTGTGTGCTGTGTGTAGGTGTGTGTGTAGGTGTGTGTGTGTGCTGTGTAGGTGTGTGTTGTGTAGGTGTACTGTGTGTAGGTGTGTGTACTGTGTGTGCTGTGTGTAGGTGTGTGCACTGTGTGTGACCGGCTCCAGTTTAACAGCAGAGGTCTCACTCCGAATCAGTCGAGCGGCAATATCTTTTCATCGGTTGCGTAACGCTGTGTGGAAGCTACCTGGTCTGTCGCTCCGCACTAAGCTTCAGGTCTTCTCGGCCACGGTCATTCCCTCCCTTCTCTACGCTTGCGAAACGTGGACCCCCCCTAATGGAACATCTTCGCCGGTTAGAAACATTTAGGCTGGCCTGCCTACGATCCATCCTGGGTTTAACCAGACTGGATTGTGTGAGGAGCTCACAAATCCTTGAAAGATCTCTGCAAGGTCCCATCGGTGAGCTCCTCCAGCGGGCAAGGCTGCGATGGCTGGGTCACGTAGCCCGCATGCCCAGCCACCGCATGCCGAAACAGCTTTTGTTCTGCCGGATCGAGGGGGCTAAGCGGGCGCGGCACGGGCTAGAGAAGAGATGGAGTGATGTGGTACAGGAGGACGTGGAGCTGAGTGGACTTGCCGATGACTGGTACCACCGGTGTCAAGATCGGCCTCTGTGGAGGAGGCTCGTGAAGGATGCTACTGGGCAGTTGGAGGCAGTCGCCCTCCAACAACAACAGAGGGCGGAGGAGCGACGCTCACAACAACGAGCGGAGCGCCGGGTGGCTAAAGCACAGCAGGTTGGCACAGTAGGGGGCACAGGTGGTGCATCAGCCAGTCATCTCAGTCATCTTAGTCGACCCGTGGCACCTGGGTCTGCCCCGTGACCTGCCAGCGGGCGTTCGACACTCCACGTGGCCTCAAGGTGCACATGTCCTGGCACAAGCGTCGTGGTGACGTCACCGCCACTTAGTGGCGAATGGCGGTTGTTGTGTAGTTGTGTGTGTGCTGTGTGTAGGTGTGTGCTGTGTGTAGTTGTGTGTGTGCTGTGTGTAGGTGTGTGTACTGTGTGTAGGTGTGTGTGTTGTGTAGGTGTGTGTGTGGTGTGTAGGTGTGTGTGCTGTGTGTAGTTGTGTGTGTGTTGTCTGTATTGTGTGTGTTGTGTAGGTGTGGTGTGTAGGTGTGTGTGTTGTGTAGGTGTGGTGTGTAGGTGTGTGTGTTGTGTAGGTGTGTGTGTGGTCTGTAGGTGTGTGTGGTGTGTAGGTGTGTGCTGTGTGTAGTTGTGTGTGTGTTGTCTGTATTGTGTGTTGTGTAGGTGTGTGTGTGTGTTGTGTAGGTGTGTGTGTGGTGTGTAGGTGTGTGTGTGGTCTGTAGGTGTGTGTGGTGTGTAGGTGTGTGTGCTGTGTGTAGTTGTGTGTGTGTTGTCTGTAGTGTGTTGTGTAGGTGTGTGTGTTGTGTGTGCTGTGCGTGTTGTGTGTGCTGTGTAGGTGTGTGTGTTGTGTGTGCTGTGTGTAGGTGTGGTGTGTAGGTGTGTGTGTGTGTTGTGTAGGTGTGTGTGTGCTGTGTGTAGTGTGTGTTGTGTAGGTGTGTGTTGTGTAGGTGTGTGTGGTGTGTGTGCTGTGTGTAGGTGTGTGTGTAATTAAATCACGACGTTTCGGAGCCAACACAAGCTTCCGTCTCACCTGATCGCTAAATTCAACCTCCTATCAAAGACGAAGCCAGAACCACACATCACAAAGATGGACGTTAACAAAATCGTTATTAATCAGAGTAACATCCCGATTTCGGACAATCTGAAAACGGTACTGGCTAAAGGGCAAAATTTCGCTGTCACCCCTAAACACATACCAGTAGAGGATGTCATCCTCTCAGGTGGATGTAGCCCTCAAAGGCATAGGACACATCCAAGCGGACGTTGCGAGAGCTGAAATAGCCACTGTTCTCAAGAATGCTAAGAAACCCATTAGCAACATGAGCAAAAACGAACGCTCCGAACTCGCGAATTTGAAAACGAGGGATGATATTGTCATCTCTCGGCCGACAAGGGCAATACCACTGTTATCATCGATAAAAAAAACTCGTACAACAGCAAAATCCAGGACCTACTCAATGATGGCAGTTACGCCAAAATTAAATGTGATCCCACTAACAGCCTAACGATATAAAAAACCAACAAGATCATCACTAGTTCGACCTCCCTAATCGGACCAACTGAACGTCCCTCCCTAAAACCCTCGGCTGCAAGACCTCCCAGATTCTGTGGTCTTCCCAAGATGCATAAAGAAGGTACCCCAATACGACCCATCGTGTCCACGAACGATCAACTCCCCTACCTACAAGCTGGCCCGTTTTTTTTTTATCGGATACTCTGCTCCCCTTCACTGGCAAGACCACCTCAGCGGTACTTAACTCAACCCAATTGGTTTCTATGGTCAAGGGCATTGCACTGCCTCCTGACGATATCCTCGTCAGCTTTGATGTGGTCTCTCTGTTCACCAAGGTCCCGGTGCCTGACACCATGACAATAATTGAAGACTTGGTCCAACGTGGACTGGACCCCGATGTACCTGCGCTGGTTAGGCACTGCCTCACCAACACCTACTTCACCTGGAATGGCGCCTTCTACAAACAAAATGAAGATACCCCTATGGGTTCCCCCTTATCACCAGTGATAGCCAATGTTTTCATGGAGAAATTTGAATCAAACGCCATCCAGACATCCACCCTACGTCCTTCCCTGTGGAAGAGATATGTGGATGACACTTTCGTCATTTGACCACATGGCCTCCCAGCATTGAACCATTTCCTACACCACATCCATTCCAGACACCCATCTATCAAATTCGCCATGGAAGTGGAGAAAGATGGCAAGCTGCCATTCTTGGTTGTTCTGTTTGAGAGGAGGCCTGAAGGCTCTTGGGGACATTCTGTCTACAGGAAGTCCACCCACACAGATTCCTACCTGAAGCCTGATTCCCAACACCACCCGGCTCAAAATAATTCCTTCATCAAAACGCTATACCATAGGGCTCATTGCATTTCTGACCAACAACACCTGGCCAGTGAATTAAAACATGTACAACTGGCCCTCAAGATGAACGGATACTCTGACCGTACTATCCGCCAAGCTGTTACTCCCACCATACAGAAACAACCACCTGACACTCCGATCAAAATCATCACGTTGCCATACATAGCAGGCGTTACCAAAAATATTTCCAAAATTCTAAACAAACACAAGATCCAGGTCCGGTTCAATACAGGACACAAGATCTGTGATCTGATCCCATCCGTGAAGGATGTCATTCCTGATTTACATTACCCCGGTGTTTACATATTGAGTTGTACCTGCGGTGGACTGCTATATCGGGGAGACGAAGCGACATGTCTCTGACCGAATTCGCGAGCACAAATCAGACTTGAAACACGGCAGAACGAATTCTTCGGCCGTGGCTGATCACTGTCTCAACACAGCGGGTTCTCATCACATTGTTTTCTCCGATACCTAAGTACTCTGCAAGCCTCCTGGACACTACCAAAGACTTGTCCATGAAGCCATCCGGATATACAAACAAACATAGGCGCAACTTCAACCGAGGGGATGGTTTGAAACTGAGCAACCATTGGAAAGATGTCATCAACCGAGTCGAACTTTAGCTGCATTATAATTGCACAGCCGTTTCCATTTCTTCCAGTTGGTTTCTCTCATTTTCGACTACCGCTCGCCATCGCCTCTCCGTCCCCCTAACCCCCCTTAACCTGTCTATATAATCTCGGGTGTCTTAGAGCTCTTCACTTGATACAGCTATTTTGCTGTGACTGTTCCACCTGAAGACGGAGGCTTGTGTTGCCTCCGAAACGTCGTGATTTAATTTAGCTGCTTTCATTCATTTTATTTTACCTACGTGACGTTACCGGAAAAAAAAAAAACCAGCGGCATCTACAGAACGTGAAGAACCAGTGGCATCTACATCTACAGAACGTGAAGAACCAGCGGCATCTACAGAACCAGCGGCGTCTACAGAACGTGAAGAACCAGTGGTATCTACAGAACGTGAAGAACCAGCAGCGGCGTCTACAGAACGTGAAGAACCAGCGGCGTCTACAGAACCAGCGGCGTCTACAGAACGTGCAGAACCAGCGGCATCTACAGAACGTGAAGAACCAGTGGCATCTACATCTACAGAACGTGAAGAACCAGTGGCATCTACATCTACAGAACGTGAAGAACCAGCGGCATCTACAGAACCAGCGGCGTCTACAGAACGTGAAGAACCAGTGGTATCTACAGAACGTGAAGAACCAGCAGCGGCGTCTACAGAACGTGAAGAACCAGCGGCGTCT